AAAAAATTGTTCATCAACAACATATATATATATATATATATATGGAGAGAGAGAGAGAGAGAGAGAGAGGGCTTCTGCAGCTCTTCTTGGTCAAGGTCCTGTTCAGATCGGTAGCTTCACGGTCTGTTCAGATCGAACCACGATCTGTTTAGATTGATCCAGATCGGTAGCTTCATGAGATCGATCCTGGCCCAGTTTAAATCGGTGGCAACATAGGGCTTCACGGATGGACCACGGACAGTTCACAAGCGAGACGGAGAGGGAGAAGGGAGGGCTTTACAAGCGAGACAGAGAGGGAGAAATGAATGAGGAACAGAGACATGAGAGAAGCAGTGAGATGAGAGAGATGAGAGGCGTAAGTGAGGGAGAGAGAGAGAGACGGGGTGAGACAGGGAGAAATAAAAGTGTGATTAATGGATTTGGTTTTTATATATATATACCTAGGGGTAAAATAATAATTTCATTTCAGGGATAAACGGGGACGGGGACGGGACGGGGACGGGGCTGGGACACATATTCCCGTCCCTGGCCCGAGAGTGATCGGGGATCGATTTTTAAATACCATCCCCGTTCCCGTAGGGATATTTTTCGGGGAAAAAACTCACAAATTGGGGTCGGGAGGTCGGGTTCTCGTCGGGCAGAGTTTAAATTGCCATCCCTATGCGGCAGTGGATCAAAATATCATACATTGCAAGATTAGTCTTGGGTCCAAACACTTTGCAGATTTGACTTGGAACGCACTTAAGTTGGGCTAGTAGATAAAAATATTTTGCAGTTACTAGCCGGTCTCATTTTGTAGATTTGATGTGGAACACACTTAAGTTGGGCTAGTAGACGAAAATATTTTGCAATTTCTGACTGGTTCTATGGACTTGGGATACAGTGAACAGTATTTAACGAAATTTACAAAATTCAACATCTAGCAAGCACTTGAAGGATTTAGAGGTTCTTGAAACTTTCTAGAGTTCTCTAGGGTCTTGTGGAGTAATGTAGAGACTTGTATTCTAAACATGTAGATATTATTTTTGTATATCCTAGGGGTGAGCAGCGGATATATCGATCTGCCAAAACCGACCGAACTGAATCGATCCGTCACATTTTGGACGGATGCTTCATGACGAGCGGACAGTTGCGGATTGATTTTCTCCAATCCGCCAATTTGGCAGACGGATGGCGGATTTGAGATTTCTTTGGCCGCAACCGAACCACCAAACCGTGAGCACCCTTAGTAATTTATAAGACTTTGTGCTTTCAATTTGTTTAAATATTTTGTTTGTGTTTTCAATTGAAAAAGAGTTCAAATATTCTGTTGAAAAAAAGTTTTCAGCTTGAATATATTTTTTGAATTCAAAAAATTAACGAATTATTTATCTATATTTTTTGGTTTTTAAATCTAACACTAAAGGTAATAAATAGAAAATATAACATATGCTGGTTGGTTTTTATTTTCAAAAACATATATAAATGTAACAATACAGAGACATACAATCTCTACTATTGCTCTGTTCATGGTTTTGATGGTTTGAATTGTTTTTATATTTTAAGAACCACAGATTGTAATATTTTATGTGGATGGGGCATGCAGTAATTGTAATATGTGGATGAGGCATGCAGTGATTGTGATATTCTAAAGTTTCAAACTTTCTTTCTTTGGATGATGCATGCAGTAATTGTAATACTTTTTAAAATCATTGACTGTAATACTTTCTTTTTTTTTTTTTTTTTTGAGGAAGTGCACAAGTTGAACTATGTTGAAAATTTATAAAATTTCAAACCACCAACCCGATTTGCATCCATCCATCAAACCGCCAATCCGCTCAATCCACATCTGCCGAATTGGCAGACGAATGTGGATTGATTTTCTCCAATTCGCCAATCTGACGAACGGATGGCGAATTAGAGATTTCGTTACCGCAACCGACCCACGCCCACCCCTAATACATCCTATAATAGTTTATTTAAAAAGATGGAATAAATATTTAAAATTCCCTTCGTTGTTAAAGTTTTAAAATATTCATTGTAAGTCTATAAAAGAGGGTGAATCTCATTTGCTCAAACCATCCAATCAATACAAGCTCTCTTATAATCTATTACAAACTAATCAAAATATTTTCAATAACTCTTTGATTTTACTATTGTTATCCCCATAAATTTTGCTTTGGGTAACAAATTTCATGATTCTAGACAAATAATCTTTAAATAACTCCATTTCTTTCATTTTTATATTTAAACTAAAAAATTTAAGAATTGAAATTTGATGGTTCTTATCTTCAAATTATGTCTATGAAAAATCAAAATGAATTGTCGGTGTGAACTCATGTCTTTCATTTTCATATTCCATGGTTTTCAATAACTATTTTCTTTTTTTTTTCTTTTTTTCTTGTTGATTCTAAGTTTGTAATCATTTTTACTTTTATATTTTATATATATATATATATATACATGTTTTTCTGTTGGAGTCACTAATGTGTCAGAAAGTGCCAATCATATATATAGACAAGGAAAATTGGTTGAGCTTACTCCACAAGAACTACTTAATTATAAATTAACTACAAATTATATTTGTTATGCTTAGTTGTCTGTAATTCTTATAGTTTCGCATTTCAAAATTTTTTATTGACTGACATTGTGGGATTCTTGCTAGAATTGATGATGAAATGTTAGGAATTCTATGATATTACTCAATTCTAGTTAAAATTTTCTACCATAAGACTTTAAATTAAGTCCAAAATTATCATAATTGAATCCTTATGATATATTGTGTTGCACTTGAATCTTGATAAATAGAACTTATTTATTGATCTACATTTTTGTAAGGTTTTCTGAGGGAGTAGTTTGTTAGATAATGTCTCAATGGGACCACATAATTAAATGTGGTGTTATCATTTATAAGAAGCCTACAATTTAAGTGATTCAATTTAGTTAATAGGCTTAAGGGTATATGTGTTATGGACCTAATGTGTAGATACTAGTTGTATAATTTCTATTTCTATGAGGGGCAGAAATAGAAATTAAAACATATTGATTAAAGTTGGTTTTCATTCCTTTTGAACTTCCACAACCTTTCAGTTTTGAAAACCAATAAATAGAAATTAAAACCAATAAGTAAACCCGCAGGTATGACCTCCCTTGGAATCCCATAAAATATATTCCATTTTATGGTGGTGCAGAATACCATGATTACCATCATTATGTTGGAGGACAAAGCCAGAGCAACTTTGCATCCGTGTTCACCTACTGTGATTACATCTATGAAACTGATAAGGTCGTTATACAATTAGTTTTAATTATTATTTGAAGTTTTTTGGTTTGACCTAACTGATTATATTGTATCATAATAATGTTATTATTTGATTTATGTCATTAGGGCTACCGGTATCAAAAGAGGCTCCTCAAGCAGGTAAACACTGCAGTCTTTTGTCTTTTTATTTGTGTTAGAGTTTTGCTTGGCAACTTGTTTAAGTTTCCCTCCACATCTAGTTTACACTTGTATATATATATATATATATATATGCATGAACATTAGAATTTTTGTATATATCTCTTTACATTTTTTTTTATTGGCCAAAGGAGGATTTTATTGATAATAATCAAATCAAAGGATTACACATCAATAAAAACTAGGGGGAAAATTGCATCATAGTAGAAATAAATATCACTATACATTTTTTTTTTATCAGTAAATATCTCTTTACATTTATTACTCTATTATTATGCAATTATTGTATATAATATTTGAATATAAGTTGATATTTCTATTACACATTTAAATTAATTTGTAAATT